TTTATTATGATCAAGTGGGGTTTATTCCAGGAACACAAAGTTGGTTATACATTTCACTGTGAAAATTCAACTTACCATATTAAAGAATACAAAGAAAACTCAAGTTTATTTCAGCAGATGTGGAAATATTTGACTAAATTTCATAAGCATTTATGATAAAAACTCAAAAGACTTAATCCATAATCTGATAAATGGTGTTTTTGGAAAACATACAGTTTGCATCATATTTAATGGTGAAATATTGACTCTAAATTGGTTGATTCTTGTCACTTTTATTTAACATTATATTATGTAAGTATAATAAGGCAAGAAAAAAAGAGAAGGCATACAGTTTGGAAAAAAAATGTAACACTATTTGAAGATGGCTTGCTTCTTTCATCAAAAAACAAGTAACAACCCCTCACTCCACCAACCCAAACAAAAGATTCTCTCCCTGAATCGAAGAGCCTTCCTAGAGTCTTCTGGTGGTTTACATCGTAGCAGAGACTTCAGAGCAAGCTTGTCGAACCTGAGGACCATGGGCTGCATGTGGCCCAGGACAGCTTTGAATGTGGCCCAGCACAAATTCATATACTTTCTTAAAACATTCTGGCGTGTGCTGTCTCCTGTACTGCACAAGGGTTCAAAGAAAGACACACAGATATAGCTGGGCCAGGCGGTCCGAAAAGCTGATGGTGTGTCTCTTTATCCCATGCTGCCTCAGAGTACTTTATTTTCTATGTTCACAAAGCACATAGCAGAGGGAGGGTACAGTTACCCAGAACAGCCTGTGGTTATAATTCTCATATCTCAGATAACATACCTCAGCTAACAACTATCTTGCAGCAGGGTCAGTGAAAGCTGATTATCTTTCGCTAGGTCCGACTGCTCTTCTCTGAGACATATACATTCCCCTATCATGGTTTCCCTTCTCTTGGAGTTCCTCCAAAGTTCACAGCAGCCTTGCTGTTGACTCCCCAGAGGGGATGGGCTACTCTGGCTCTCTACAAAACATTATGACAATTTTAAAATTTTTATTTTGTTAGCTTGTCAGCTATTGTTACTGTATTTTACGTGTGGCCCAGGGAAGCTGAAAGATTGGACACCTCTGCTTTAGAGTCAGTGAGACTTGATTTCAGATGCTAGCTGTTCCTTAAAATGATACCTGTCTTACTTACAGTTGTACATATTAAGGATTAAAATAGATAATTTATATAAATATTGTTTCTATAGCATTTGGCCAAATGTAAGTGCTCATATAATGATAGCAGTTAAACTATTATCACTATTTAGTCTTCCTTCTCTCCTTGTCCATATTGCTTTAAAGAATAGAATATACACAGTCTTCACTGACCTTTCCTTTACTCCTACGACATGTGTTCTACGAACACTATCCTTTTGAGTAATTATCTGATTATTCTGTCTATGACATGTTTTTAATACATCTCATTCTGGTAGGTATAATGTATCTCTGTCAGTCTTACAGCTTCCAAATTTTAATTTGTTTCTTTTTTTTTTTTTTTTTTTTGAGACAGAGTCTCACTCTGTCACCAGGCGCCAGGCTGGAGTGCAGTGGCGCGACCTCGGCTCACTGCAACCTCTGCCTCCCAGGTTCAAGCAATTCTCCTGCCTCAGCCTCCCGAGTAGCTGGGACTGCAGGCACGTGCCACCACGCCCAGCTAATTTTTTTTATTTTTAGTGGAGACAGGGTTTCACCATGTTGACCAGGATGGTCTCGATCTTTTGACCTCGTGATCCACCCACCTCGGCGTCCCAAAGTGCTGGGATTACAGGCATGAGCCACTGCTCCCGGCCCTCGTTTCTTTATTCCCTTATATTGTCTATCCTCAAAACCATTTTCTTTAGAGCATTCTATTTAAAACGTAAAATTTGATTTCCACTACTTTTCTCAAAACACTGTGCCCTTTTCTTTCCCTAGAGGCTAAAGATAGAACTCATAATGTAGCACATCTCTGCCTGACTGCCCACCTGCTACGTATACAGACTTAACTCTCACCTCTCCCTACATTGCTGAAGAGTGTCCTCTTCCTTATATCCCCTGCATTGCCCTCCATGTTGTATTAACGTCAGAACATTTAGGCACTATTTTAAGTGATTTAATGGTATATTTGTCCTGCCAAGAACACTATGGGTTCTTGAGGGCAGGGACTATGCCTTTATATTTTTATTGTTAGCATTTGGCACAATTACTGATAAGCAGCTGGCAATAACATATTTTTAGTGACTAATCAGTGAATAGAAGATCATTGTCAACCTGAAAGATTTTAATTTGTAAGAAAACTTTTTGACATGGGGAATTAATTTATGCTTTAGTCTTAAAAATATATCAAACTTTGACTTTTCATTAGTTCCCTTATCATTATTGCATAAAATTTCATTCTTCTATTCAAAACATTGATGACATAGATTTATGTATTGTGCTACTATAAATTTTAGAATAATTAATGTCTGATATTAGAAACATAATGTAGTTTTGTGGGAACCAATAATTACATTGTGTATATTTTTGTTCCCGAAATGCTTAATACATCACAATTTTGCAGTGAGCTAACATCTTTTAAGATGCCCAAAGTGAATTTATTTCATTACAGAAACAAGCTGCTGAAATTTTTTCAATCTTCTTTAAAATCCTGTTCAGGTTGTTTTAGCTTAAATACAGTTGTTGAATTATTTTTTACCTAAAGTTATACTTGATTTGCTTGGAGTAGCATATCATATCTTGTCTTAATTATATATGGTCTACATCATTTTATTTCTTAGGTGGAGAGAGGTTTCATAATCAATCAATTGAATTATTCATGTATAAATAATCCAAAAATGCACGATATACTATTGACATGTGATTTATAAAGATTATATATGTATTTTTCTACCAAAATAGACATTTATTAAAGGCTGTTTTTGGTAATCTTTCATGATTGTGGCAGAAAAGATTCTTTAAATATTAAATTATGAAAGGATTTATTTATGTTAGTATCCAAATATTGCTGGATTAATATTAAGGACATTAAAACATGTTTGGATATTTAAAGTATAAAGCATTTTTAGCTTGTATGTTTTGGTTCATCGGTATTCTCAGGATAAACTAAATTGGATTAAAAATAAAGCTATAATGAAATCTGTTTTATTAATCATCTTTCTAGTTATTACCTGGTGATTACAGAAGTTTATATAGTATTTTCCTGGGTGACTATGCATCCTCCAGCTCTTCTGCAGTTTATTTTTTATATAATTAATAGACATATTCCTCAAACATTCCTTCCTTGGCAGGTTTTTTTCTTCCTTTTCTATAGTGCATACTTCTCCTGCAGTGTTCTCTTTACATAGGCGTTCATTAAATGGCAACTAATTTATTATATTAGTTATTTTTTATGATAACTTTATTACTATTCAAATAGTTATTAGCTTTTAATCATGGATTATTTTTTTCTTGAATTGATTAGAAATTCATTCGTCAATTCACGGAATATTGTATTATAGGGAAAAAGATGATTTTAAAAAGTTTAATGTAAATTCATGTTTTATACAGAAATAGTTTTTACTAAAATCCACTGTATATTAAATATATTCGTTATATAGTTACTGTTATTTGTTAAATAACATTGCATTTTGGTGTAATAAGGGAGGAGATGTAAAATGGACTTGACTTTCCAGGTCTTGAAAGAAGGATGTGGAACAAGGGCGTCGGCGTCAAATAGTGTCTGAAGATTATATTATAATTTTTAATGAGTAACTTGAGTCTGGAAATAAGAAAATACAGATTATTTCTGCCACTACCTTTCTGAGTGTGTGTCTTTGGCCAAGCTACCTCACTGACCTCAATTTTTTTCATTTATTACATAAGATTGAATTAAGTGTTCTTTTTAGTTTTCTCAATTTTCAAATTTCTGATTCTAGTGAAATATCTCAGTATGTCTGGTTCTTGAAGTTTCTGAGTCTATTGAAAATGTTTAGAAAATGTCAAGCAGAAAACTTTACAGTTGCAAGTAAGTACAGGTAATATAATGCAAGGAAAAGATATTAGCATTGACGGAATATAGGCCTTCTAAATGTGGATGGAGGTAATTGGAAAGTCTTTGGAAAAGATGTGACGTATTTTAAAAGTGTATCATGTGGGATAATGAGTAAGTGAAGGGTAGGAGAAGCGTGTTAGAATTTTAAAAAGTACATGTAGGTGGCAGTCTGTTGAAGGAGACCACAGCCAGATTTGATTGACTGAAGTGGCGACTTCATGCTGAGGAATACTAGGAAATGAGGCTTTTGAGGCTCTGAAGAGAAGAATCACGTCAATTAGTGAAGTGCCTTGAAAGTCATGCTAAGGAGTTTAGATTCTGATGTTTAGTCATGGGCAACCACAGCATGCTTTTGAGCTGGGGAGCCAAAGAATGAATGTGCCTGAAAAAAATATTCTAGTGGCGTTTAATAAGATGCAATGAGAGTGAATAGCTTAAAAATTTCATGGAGAGATTGGCAAAATTGCACCAGAAAAATGAGCTAGCTTTGATAGGAAAAGCCATGGCTTTTAAAAATCAGCTATCATATTTAGATTAGTGGGGTTTTCAGTGAAAGTCGTTAAAAGATAGCCTTGTGGTCGGAAGGCAAAAATACATAGAATTTATTATTTTGTCCCAGAGCCTGTAAGTATTATTCTTGTGCATTTTCTTACATATTGGATATGACAGTGCAAAGAATGAAAAAGGTGGATTATTGAATTTTTAGTCAGAACCAGACTTTTAAGAGATGTGATATTTTAAAGCATATTCCAAATTAATGTATGTGTGTGATGCTTTTATATCATGCATTGTCAGCTTATAGATTTTCGCTGTGCATGTTAACTGTTTTGTACTTATCATATATGTACCTATTTCAAATTTATGGGAATTACGTATATTTAAAAATTAGCCCTCAAAGTCATACAGATATAAACGTATATTATTGACTCTCTGTGGATGTGGTTGACAAAAATGAATCATTTGAATCATTTTTTTCTTTCCCTCTAGTCTTTTTTAGCACTGGTGAGCTTGTTAACCTATCCTGCTATTTATGAGCTGGTAAGCAATCAAGAGCTTCCTAATAAAGCAGAATATTCTCTTCGTGAAGTCCCAACATGTGTTATTGTAAGTTATTTTCCTTAAATCTTTCTGTGTTATAAATGCTACTATTTGAGATTGGTAGTAAAAATGCAATTTGACCAAAAGGAGAAAAAAAGAATCATTATGTAATGGCATTTAAGGGCCAATTTGATTAATCATGCATGAATTACATCTACTTTTGCGTTTTCTGTGCATGGAATCTTTGATCCAGATCACCTAGCACTCCCAACGCCTGTCAGAATATGAGGCTAACTCCAACCGGGAAAGAGACTTAACGTAAATAGAAGGAAATGTATGTGTGAGTTTTAGATGACTCATTACCTTATTAGTCAAACCAGTGATGTTCCTTCATTGGCTAGGATAATTAGGAATAAATTGTATCCAAGGAGTCCAGTATATTTTCTCCTTGTATTTTAATGAACTACATATTATTGCCCCATGAGGGCAGTATATACAAATTTATTTCATTTGAGACCTATGTTGTACTAATACTCACAGATGAGTAACTTGTTTTAAGCATTCAGGGATATTTAGTTCCTTGTCTTTGGGTACATTTATGAATTGAACACACATAAACATATGTATTTATGCATATAAGAATTAGTAAAGACCTACTTGATATTGATATTTCATTATTAGTAATTATTTTTCATTTTCTGTTCATTCTATTTGACATTGTTTTTATAACATAGTTTTGCTGCTTTGAATACCTTTAAAACTGTTAACCTTAAATACTTGGATTTAAAAAAATTTTGTCTATTTTATGAAAATTTTAATAACTTATATAACATGAAATACAAAGATAGGTACTTCATTCATTTAACATTAACTTAGATTATCTTTTCTTTTCAATTGTATTTGAAAAGAATGTGATGTTTTTCAATTGTATTTTGTGACTCCTTGTATGTTGGCACTTCTTAAGTACAGATATACCTCCTAATTATTGTGGGATCCATTCTATGCCATCACAATAAAATGAATACTGCAATAAAGGAAGTCACATAAATTTTTTGTTTTCCCATGTAAAATTTATGTTTACACTATACTGTAGTCTAAAGTGTTCAATAGCATTATGTCTAAAAAAAGTTTATTACTTAATTAAACATACATTATTGCTAAAAAATGCTAATGATCATCTGAGCCTTCAGTGAGTTGTAATCTATTTTGTTGGTGGAGAATCTTGCTTCATTGTTGATGGCTGCTGTGACTGATCAGTGTGTTGGTTGTTGAGGACTGGGGCAGTTCTGGCCCTTGCTGATAGTAAGTAAACAGTGAAGTTCACTGCATCACTTGACTCCTTTCATTAAAGATTTCTCTGAAGTATTTGATGCTTTTTGATAGCATTTTACCCACAGTGGAACTTCTTTCAGAATTGAACTCAGTCCTCTCAACCCAATCACTGCCTTATCAACTAAGTTTATGTAATATTTTAAATCCTTTGTTGTTATGTCAACAGTGTTTACAGCGTCTTCACCAGGAGTGGATTGACCCCTCATCTGTTTGAGTTTGATCTCAAGATTGCAGCAATTCAGTCAAATCTTCAGGCTCCACCTTTAATTCTAGTTTTCTTGCTGTTTCCACCACATCTGTGGTTGCTTGTTCTACTGAAGTACTGAAATTCTTTAAGTCATCCATTAGGATTGGAATCAGCTTCTTCCAAACTCCTGTTAATGTTATCTTTTGACCTCTTCTCATGAATCACAGATGTGGCATCTTAATGGTGAATCTTTTCCAGAAGTTTTTCAATTTACTTTGCCCAGTTCTGTCAGCAGAATCACTATTTATGGCAGCTATAGCGTTTCAAATTATACTTCTTAAATATTTGAAAGTCAAAATTACTGCTTCATTTATGGGCTATAGAATGGATGTTATATTAGCAGGCACAAAAACCATATTAATCTCCTTGAACATCTCCAACAGAGCTTTGGGTGACCTGTTTCATTGTCAATCAACAGTAGTATTTTGAAAGGAATCTTTTTTTTTTTTTTTTTTTTTGAGACGGAGTCTTGCTCTGTTGCCAGGCTGGGGTGCAGTAGTGCAATCTTGGCTCACTGCAACCTCTGCCTCTTGGGTTCAAGCAATTCTTCTGCCTCAGCTTCCCGAGTAGCTGGGATCACAGGCACGTGCTACCACGTCTGGCCAGTTTTTGCATTTTTAGTAGAGACGGGTTTCACCATGTTGGCCAGGATGGTCTCGATCTCTTGACCTCATGATCAGCCCACCTCAGCTTCCCAAAGTGCTGGGATTACAGGCGTGAGCCACCGTGCCTGGCTTGAAAGGAATTTTTTTATTGAGGAGTAGTTCTCAATGGTAGGCTTAAAATATGCAGTAAACCCATGCAGTGACAGATGATGTACTGTCATTTACTGTATTTTTCCATTTGTATAGCACAGACAGAGTAGATTTAGCATAATTTTTCAGTGCTCCAGGATTTTTGGAATGGTAAATGAGCATTGGCTTTTGCTTAAAGTCACCATCTGCGTTAGCTCTTAACAAGAGCGTTAGCTTATCTTTTGAAGCTTTGTATCCAGGCATTGACTTCTCCTTCCTAGTTATGAAAGTCCTAGATGATATCTTCTTCCAATATAAACAGTTTTGTTTGCATTGAAAATCTCTTGGCCAAATGTCACGGTTCACACTTGTAATCCCAGCACTTTGGGAGGCCAAGACGGGTGGATCACCTGAGGTCAGGAGTTTGAGAGCAGCCTAGGCAACATGGTGAAACCCTGTCTTTACTAAAAATACAAAAATTAGCTGGACGTGGTGGCATGTGCCTGTAATCCCAGCTACACGGGAGGCCGAGGCAGGGGAATCACTCGAACTTGGGAGGTGGAGATTGCAGTGAGCCAAGATCATGCCGCTGCATTCCCACCTGGGCTATAGAGTAAGACTCAATCTCAAAAAAAAAAAAAGAAAAAAAAGAAAGAGAATCTCTTTAATGTAGCTAACTTCATCAGTTATCTTAGCTCGATCTTCTGGATAACTTGCAGCTTCTACATCAGCACTTGCCACTTCACCTTGTACTTTCATGTTGTTGAAACAGCTTCTCTCTTTGAATCTCATGAACCAACCTCTGTTAACTTCAAACTTTTCTTCCATAGTTTCCTCATTTCTCTCAGCCTTCATAAAATTAAAGAGAGTTAGAGCCTTCTTTGGCTTACGATTTGGCTTAAGGGAATACTGTAATTGGTTTGATTTTTTTTCCTTCAGATCACTCAAGCTTTCTTCATATCAGCAATAAGGTTGTTTCATTTTGTTATCATTCATGTATTTCCTGGAGTAGCACTTTTAATTTCCTTAAAGAACTTTTTCTGTGCTTTTACAACTTGGCTGATTGTTACCAGGGGCCCAGCTTTTGACATACCTTCCTCGCTAAGCTTAGTCACTTTTAGCTTTTGATGTGCAGTGAGAGACATTCAACTTTTCCTTTTACTTGAACACTTAGAGGTTTTGTAAATTTACTAATTTTCCTAATCTTAATATTGTTGTGTCTCAGGTAATGAGGCCCAAGGAGAAAGAGAAAGATAGGTGAATGACCAATTGATGGAACAATCAGAACAATATTTGCCCATTAAGTTTGTTGTCTTATATGGGTACAGTTCATGGTGCCCCCAAATAATTATAAAAGTAACATCGAAGATTACTAATCACAGATTATCATAACAGAACAATTCCAAAAAGTTTGTAATATTGTGAGCATTACCAAAATGTGATCCAGAGACACAAAGTGAACACATGCTGTTAGAAAAATAACACCAGTAGACTTGTAATACGTCTTAAATTTGCAAAAAAGCATATTATCTGCAAAGTACAATAAGGGACATGCAATAAAACAGGGTAGTTTTATAGTCATTTATGTGCCTGTATTTTCCACCACAGTGGGAGTACCTTAGAGAAAGTAGGCTTAGACCTATATCAATCTAGCAGATTGTTTGTGTCCAGTGAAAATAATTATCCTAATATGATTGGTTTTATTGAGGTTGGTTATGGGAAACAAGCACAAATTAGTTTTGTGATATAGTCCAAAATGATAGCTTAGATGTTTGTTCTCTTAAGTTTTCATGTGTCTCTGCAGGGCATGTTCAAATATATCTTTCCACTTATGGAAAAATTGGTTTTCTATTTAGTCTTAAGATACTTAACAGCAGTTATATTACTGTGTTCCTCCCCAAGGCAGTCTATTTTAACCCTGTAGAAAGCTCACTGCTTTCTGTCATGATTTAAACATGTAGCAGCTGATTAGATAGTGCCTACCCAGATTAAGGCTTCATCTGCCTTTCCCAGCCCAGTGACTCCAATGTTCATCTCCTTTGGCAACACCCTCACAGACACACCCAGGATTAAAACTTTGCATTCTTCAATCCAATCAAGTTGACACTCAGTATTAACCATCACATGTGGGGATTATGGGAACTACAATTCAAGGTGAGATTTGGGTGGGAACACAACCAAATTGTTTCACACCGCCACCTCCTTTAACTTAATTTACCACTTTGGATTATTTGACATGGTTTGTCCACTCCTTACTGTAATTCTTTGTTTTTATGGCTGCAGGATTACTTACTTCTTGTTCTCTGCCTTCTTTTCTGGTCTCTCCTGCTGAGTTGTCTTTGTAGACTTCTCTTCCTTTGTTTGTCCTGTGGCCTCTAGAATGATCTCATCCGATTCAATGGCTTCAGTTACACACTGACAACTCTTTGACCTATATGACTTGACTGCCAGTTATATATTTAGAATCCTACCAGACAATGGGCATCTGGAACAGTCACAGGCATCTCAGTCTTACTGTGTCTACAGCTGAATGTAATGTTTTCTCTTTCCCAAATCAATTCTGTTTCTTGTTTTTCTCTGTGTATGGTACTGTTACCACACAACTCAATGAACCAGAAACCTGGAAATCATTATTGATTTTTCCCTCTCTATAGGCAATAAATTACCATCTGCTAGATTTTGCATCCCTAACACTTTGATCTTGTTTTCTTTTTGTACTTTTTTAAAATAACTCTTATTTTAGCTTCAGTAGT